ATGGCGGAGGAGGTGGCGGAGGCGGTATTATTATACACGATGACCATAGTGGCGGCGGCGGTGGCGGCGGCAGTTACGGAGGTGGCCACGGAGGTGGTTTCGGAGGTGGCCACGGTGGTGGATTTGGAGGAGGCGGCGGATATGGCGGCGGCGGCGGTTTTGGCGGAGGACACGGAGGTGGCGGCGGCGGTATAATTATTCATGATCATGGAGGACATGGCGGCGGTGGCGGAGGTGGTGAATACGGAGGTAGACACGGAGGTGGTTTCGGAGGTGGCCACGGCGGTGGATTTGGAGGAGGAGGTGGATATGGCGGCGGTGGTGGATTTGGAGGTGGTCACGGAGGCGGTGGATTTGGTGGACATGGCGACATCGGTGGCGATGATCATCATAGCTCCAGCAGTTATGGCAACAGTATATCATCTGATTTTGGTAGCAGGTAAATATTAAATTGCACTAAATCTTATGCTAATATTAATCAATTGAAAGAAGTGATAAATCTTATTGTTAAATAATGAAGGGAAAAAAATCTCGATTATTGTACATGATCTTATATAACGTTAACGGAGTATAACGTTTTATATCGATATTTCTTTCAGTGGCCACGGCGGAAGTAGTTACAGTTCTGGTACTTCTGGTGGTGGCTTTGATTCCTATTCAAGCGGCCACGGCGGCGGCGGCGGCGGTGGCGGTAGCGGTGGCGGTGGTTACGGTGGAGGCCACGGTGGTGGTTTCTCCGGTTATCACAAAAAGAAATGAAAGTGATCGCATTGTGACCAATATGCTGAGCATTGTAGACATTTATAACTGCAGAAATTATAATGCCACTTTGTGTGATACACGATAACATGCAAAAAAGGATTTAACATCTTTTTGTTTACTTTGTATAAACTTATAAGGCAATTTTTTGATTGCGGGCTTTTTAATTTCTATCAGTCATTTTTTACGGATAACGATGCCAACAGAGATACATTGAACGAGACTATTTTACTGACTTTACAACAGATTGTTACGCGACAAACAGACAAAATAACAATAAACGCAACTGACAAACATAACTGAAATTTCTATTTTTCTACGAAGTCATAACGAAGACAGTTACATCGACTCATCAGAAATAATTTCTTTAAATATCTGATCAAAATCAGTAAAAAAATTAATCTGCCGAAATAAATTATCTTTCTGTGGATTATTATAGCAAATAGACGCGGACTCGACTACTCGTACTTTACTACTACATTTGACGCTGTGAAAACTAGACTAGACTATTTTTTCAATTGTTTATAGAATAAATTAATGCAGTAAATTAATGATTGAAATACATGCTGACTTGACTCGACTAATTCTTTCGACAGATTTATGTTAAAACAAGAGAAATTATTACAGAAGTGAATATTATTTAAATATTCATTCGAACTTATTCACGACAAATCGCGATTTATATATACACATATGTATGTATGAAACGCATTTAAACATATATCTTATTATAATTCACATGGTTGAATCTGCTGGAGACAACTTCAGAAATAAGTAGAAAATGAAAATATTAACAATTTAAATTCAAGTGAGCGTTAAAAATTATAAGACACTGAAACTAGTTTGTGATAAAAGCTGTCGAGCGCATATCATAATAATTTGTGATTACGATTTTGTTATATATTCTTTTACCTCATTGTTAAACCTGACGCACCTCAATTTAGACCTTCACGTGCCTTGTTCACCAGCACTTTAGAAATAATATACAATTTTTGCGATCAAAGCAATATTATACATTATATTTGTACATATAATATATCTTGTAAATAGAGCATTGTATTATGTGTTGTTTCAATAAAGTTTTTGTATGTTTTTAATATATAATACTATTTCTTCTTTATACTAATAAAATTAAGGAATTCCTTACAGTAATTATGTAATAAATATATAATTTCACATATTTATGAATTAATCCGAACAGCATTAATATCTTGTATATCTATAGAATATACTAAAGATGTCTTAACATAGGTACTAACAACATCCTTATAATATCTTATACTTTACGATATTCTCTGAACATTCTCAGAATATACATTTGCTGTTATATAGGGAAAAGAATAAGAAATGCTCAATTCTTTTTTTTTTAATTTTATATATAAAATGCTTGTGGAAATAATGCGAAAATGGCTATAATTATTGTTTATCACTTGTTATGCCGAGTATATTTTAATTATAAAATATTACTGCTTTTGAATTTTAAGTTTAAGTTTTTTATGAATTTCAATTCGTGCACTTCATAATTAATATATGAAACTATTTTTCTTTGAACTATATTAAATAAATCTTTTTAACCTAATTTCCTTTATATTTTTGTAAATTATATGCAGAGTTGAGAAGTAACTTGTTACTTGTAATGTCGTTACAGTTACCTTTACCTTTTTCCGGCAACAATCGTTACTTTTTTCTGTCTGTAATAGTAACACAGTAATGTCATTACATAGTTACAGTAATGGTAACAAATTTAACCGTTAATTTTATCATATACTTTAGTTAGCTCTATTTAATAGATCGCGCACTGATATAGTGCGTGTTAGGTATTCTTGATTGGATAGAAATATTTTCTTCTAGCAACTTTCCCTGCATTACACAGTTAAAGAATCAGTTGGTCCCAGTATATATCTATGTCGCAGCTTTTTTGCGAAAGATAGATCGTTTCTCAATCAGGCTGATTTTTAATTTCAAGTTTTTAGAAATAGGCTTAAAGTTAGATCAGTTTTTTATGCGGGGTGGGACTTTGCCGCAGCCCTCCCTCTGCCTACATGTGTACTTTCAAGTAAAAGAAAATTGATTAATTGACGAACTGTGCGCTAATAAATGTGCGCAAACGTGTACCGCCGTTTTGCAAACAGGTTAGCCTTGTTGCAAAAAGGCTAATTTTGTAAAAAGGCTGCGACACTTATATTATGTAACATGAACTATAGATTTTTAGTGCTAACAGTAAATAAAAAAACGTTTCATAAAATTTGCGTTTTTCAATTTAGATTCCTATAAAGATAAATATTATATAAAGAATTATATAAATTATTAGATGTATTTTTAATATAAAAAAGTCTGCTATAGGAGAGACTAGTTTAGAGTTTGAATATTGTTTATTAAACTTAATATTGATTATTAAATAATTTAATTTTGTAAAGTCAAATATTTTATTAAATATTACAAAATAACGAAGAAGTAACGAGTTACTTTTTGCAAAAAGTAATGGTAACGTATTACTTTATGAAGTAACGTTATTAACTCTGATTCTATTGTATATAAAACAATATTAAAATACACCAATAATAAGTCACTAAATCAGTCAACGATCTATCGATAATAACAAGCTCTATTTTATAATCTTTGCGTCCTCAATCAATCAAACGACGGCCCTTCTTATTCATAAGATTTATATAGTTTTCCTAATCTTTCCCCGTTTCTATCCCTCTTAATAAATAAAAAATTACTCACTTTTCGTCGCATTACTGCAACCGGTGTCTTTTCGCCCTCCTTGTTTTTCGTTCCGTTGCTGCTTCTTCTAGCACACGACAATCACTCGGACGGTTAATCATCATAACGCATCACGCACTAATTATCGGAAATGACGATTACGCGACACTTTCAGCAGCATTCCCGGCATTGATCGCACACACGCTATCACGTCATAAAAGGACGATTCGGATAACAAGTAAAAGATGCAAACTGCGACATCGGTAATGTATCTCATATTTGCGTAACAAGCGAATCTTAAACGACAGAAGGAGTTTGAAAATGACGCGGCCAATTTCACGCGTCACTCGCCACGACGATAACGCAGTTCTCTTACCTGCCTGCTATCTACTTCGAATGCTAATTTGAAGCTTTACAGATAGAGTATATGTATATACAATATGTATATATATATATATACACACGCGTGCGTTTTAAGGCTACTGATATCTCGTATCGTGACATAACTGAATAAATATATTAGTTGAAATTAAAAATAAATACCCGCGGAATGTAATATCCGAAAATATGCTTTGGCAACTTGCTTGTCTCGATAAAATAAATCTCGCGAAATACGCACTTCAACGAATCACCAATATACGAATGTCGAATCTACACTACGCGATGAACAATTACTAATATATGAAGGTTAATTACGACTATACTCATCAGTACATAATTAAATGTATCGCGATGCGTATCGACGTACTCGTTCCGTACATTTCATTAATGAGCAAGGATTTGGAAAAACGGCAACTTCACCTCGATACGACCTGAGTCGAGTTAGGGCCAAAGCACATATGACAGTCGTAGTCGTGGACGTAAGTAACGCACAAACTTTGGCGTATCCTGATCTGTCAGGTCGGGGACTACGACCGTCGTATATAACAACGCCATGTTATGTGCTTTGACCCTTCGTATAGCTATAACTAAGACACGATGGACTCCGAAAATGTACAAATAGAATATAATATTATATGCGTAATACATTACGAATATGTAAACCTCGCGCAAAATACATATTAATAAACAATTGATATGTAACGTGTTACGACTTTTCTTCATAAGGAAGAATTATATTTTCTTCCGGTACTTGCCGCGACCACGTCTCGAAGGATAATGACGCGTCACGCGGAGCGACTTGTTCCGCTGTTCGCTCTTGCTCGAGTTTATCGTATAGCCGTATACGAATGACAAGGAGCCGCGTATGACACACTGTGTGGCACAAACATTGAACGTCACGCGTTGTTTGGTTCACGCGATGTCAATTCTTTACCACTAACAAAATATTAACTGTAAAACAAACTTATGCGCCGCTGCGCACGTTGCGAATTATAATTTCAATGAATACGCACAAAAGTTTATTATCGCACATTTTTTGCGGTTCGTCTCTCAGACTCATTAGAGTCGCTAACAATTCATTACCCATCATTGAGAATGATGGATGTGATTTACATTCATGAAGTGTACGATTCCACTTTCACTTGCATTTTTCGTTTTATTATCGTTTTATAATTCCCGATATTTACATTAATGCACATGCCCATTACAGTAATACTATTATGGTCATTTATCATGGTAAACGACATGGAAAGCCTTGCAGGAAGTATCGAAGTTGATTGCTGGCACAAACATAAATTATGGCCTCTTGTGTGTATATTTCCGCTTAACATCTTATTGTTAGTATAACATAGTGTGAAAATACCAGGCAACATCATAATTACGTGACATTTCGTACGTGGTAGATTTATTGAACGTATATTTATGTAAACTAGGATTTAATATACGATAGAAAGGAACATATATGATGAGATGTTTGCATATTTATATAGTTTTGCGTCTTTATAATCTAAAAATATCTTCTCTTAATCTTTTTTTTTTAAATTGCATTTTTAAAGAGAAATCAAGAAAGTTTTGGACAGATAAAATCAATTCAGTATGAAGAATAGGGCAAGGAAAGCCGTAACAGGATGTTTGTGTTTTATTATTTTTAATAGACAAATATTATTCCAACCATAGTAAACTGCGCGCCGACAAATCGGCAGACTTGAAACACAATTTTGGTTGAAGTAGTAAAATTCCCCCCCCCCCCCAATTAAATCGTAACGATTTAATTTATGATGCTAAGCATCTAAAAACTAAAGAAATTATTGCGAAAAATATTACTTCAGCCGGGATTCGAACCTGGAACTTCCCTTTATTCCGTGAAAGGTGTCGTACCAATTCGACCACTGAAGCATGTGATACTATTTATCACAATAACCTATTATTAAATAAAGAACACGCATTATTATGCCCACGTTAAATTCTTAACATCATATTAAATCGTAACGATTTAATTGGAGGGGGGGGAATTTTTTACTACTTTAACCAGAATTGTGTTTCAAATCTGACGACTTGTCGGCGCGTATGGTTGGGATAATATTTGTCTATTAAAAATAATAAAACACGAACATCCTGTTACTTTCCTGTTAAGAATAGGGCTTTCCTTGCCCTATTCTTCATACTGAATTTTAATCCGCGGAGCCATTTGAATATTAGATGAAATAAAAATTTCTGAATCTTTTATCGGAGATCAATTTTGTGAGTTAAAATAAAATAAACAGACAAATCAAATGCAGTCTCTATAAATATGCAACCTGCGGCATTTGCTGGTATTTCTGGTGACTGAACACGGCGTTCATGTATTTCTGGCATAAATGCATTGATCCCAAATGAAAATTTATGCGGCATTATATGCAACTTTGTATAAACTCGTTATATATATTTTACTTTTTGTATATTTTTAATATTTAATATTTAATATTTAATATCTATTCAAAATTAAATATTGAATATATCCCATTATTTTAATTATAATATAATTAATAAAATAAAATATTTATTAATATAATATAGTTAATAAAATAAAACATTTTTTTTTAATACTTTTTTCTATACAAACATAATTTTTTAAAAGTGTAAGCTAATAACATAAAAAGAATTTTATTTTAATTTTAAAATAAATTTTTCCATGTCATGTTCATAGTTATATTATTTAATTTGCTTGTAAGAAAAGAGGAATGCTCATATTGAGGGATTTGTACAAGTACATCGATGATCTTCACTTCTTAATGAGCGCCAATTTTACTTTTGTTAGTGCCTTTAAGTATCGACATCTGTTAACGGATATTATAATAAAATCGCACAGTATTATAAAAGCACGCTGAATTATATTAATTTGATACTAAATTAGTTTAAAATGGAAAGTAAGCGGAAAGCGGAAAGTGAAAGAACCAATCTTATAACAAACGAGGCGCGATTTCACTCATGTGTACAATATGTATGTACACACCGCGGAACACTGAAACGGATATGTATCTTGCATTCTTATTAATCCACAAAGGAAAAAGACATAATCATCAATTGGAAGAAGATTCTCTGTACTAATAACATAAGAATAATAAGAGATTACACAACAAAAACTACGAGAAAAGATTCTAAAGCAATATAAATTACGTTTATATATTTTTAAATTATCAAAAGTAGAGACGGGAAGAAATAATATTCTTTAATTTGTGTATATTAAATATTTACAAACAGTTTCAATAAATGGGAGAATGAAGTTATTTCTTAAGAAGTTGTTGCACTTATTGTTAGAAATATTGATTATGACACTGTAAGAGATTACGTAAGCTGCAAAAAAGCTTATAATGTATTGTGTCTTTGATTGATTGAGTATGTAAAGTTCTATGCATACAACGTTTTATGTAATTAGACTAGAGAATCGATCACTCAACCGTGATGACAGTTCGCGTAATAAGTGTAGTAAGCGAATATTTCGAATAAGAATAAGAAAACGAATAAAAGAATATACTTTGCAGTCGCTTTTTCGAAGAGACATGCAATTTGTGCAACTTAAATTGTTGCGGTAAATCGATTTCACTCGAAAGTAAAAAAAGGAAGTTATCTCATCGGAACAATTTTCTTTATGAGCATATTATTCCTTTCATCTATATTTTAATTTTCTCTACTTCCTGATATTTTGTTGCCGTGATATTCGACGAGGAATAAAGGTAACTCATCTACTTTCATTATTTGGGAGAATAATGCGTTGATTTCCCTTTGAAGGAGAAATCTTGTCGGTAAGTTTCCGGGTTTACTTCTTTTTTTCAAGTGCATTTCGACACTTTCGAACTAGATATTTCGAAGTAACCACGCTCGAGGAAGACAATGCCGTCTACCCGCGAACCGAAGCGTGAACGTCGAAATTTGCGAACAGAAATAAAAGCTCGAGGAAAATTACGTTCAAGACAATGCGCGTGCGAGACCGCACGTGAGAGTTCGTGTGAAACCACTCAAGTGCGAATGATTTCAAGTGAAGTGAAGTGTGGTGCACCCAGGAACTGTTTTCAGGAAAACAGGTCCACCGTTGTTGTTCAACATTCATACACGGTTCACTGACTATTTCGATTTGGTCTCCATTTATAAGGCTGGCTGTAAAAGAGGCTTTTAGTCACCGCACGGCTGCAGTTTCAGAAGAGTCGAGCGCACATTTCGCGCATATACATATATACATAGAGTGAACATGACCAAGCTCGGAATACACGTGGGTGTCGAATCTGGGTGTGAATTTGTTATGTGATGTCTGTTCGTCTCATCATGCGAGAAAATGAGACTTGCAGGCGTACGCTTTACAAAGCGACGATTCATCTTCACTTCTCCTTTCAGTGATCCTTAATGCGCAAATGCTAATGCACGATAATTAAAGTTACTTTGCTTTAAAAAAAAGCAGATAAAATCCACTTTAACCAATCTGCAATTTATAACAAGTTTTGTGTGTAACATTAAAATATTTAATTAGTTTTAAAAAATCTTATAAGTTTTAATTAGATGCAATTATAGGTAAGGAACTAAGTTTCGTGATTTTTAGTTCTGTATATACATATATATATATTGCAAAGTAATCATGAAAGAAAAAAAAAAGATTTTCTAAAAACGTATATAACACATAGAGTTGTATTTGAGAAAAATTATAGTTCAGTCATTATATTTGAGATAACGTTGGCACAAAATTTTATTTCACGAAATTTGCTCTAATGGAAAAGTAAGTTTTGGAGTTGGTTCCGCATTGCAGAACTGCGTCCAATTAATTCTTATTATTGAGAATTTTGTTCTATAGATATTTGTTACATTTGAAATTTCTTTTGTTTTAAAATGATCAAAGATTCGAGGCTCTGGAAGATACACATTTTTCAAACAAAAATTGTGTCAAACCGTATTAAATGTGTCAAATAAGAAGATACTTACATTTCTTCCATAATTCTTATATGCAAAATAATAAGTCTTTATTTTAAATTCGCATAAAAAATCATTATTATTTATGAAATTACGTACTCGTAAAGTACCTTTGTATGCCAAATTACTATTTCGTAATAAGAGTATAAATTCTATAGGCTCCCTGATTTTTATCTCCGCATTGTTTTCTAACAATAGACTTATTATATTAATTAATCTAAAACCAATGTTTTCTTTAAAACAATATTTATTTTATAAGTTGATAAGAAAAAGAAAGAGAGAAAAAACTTGCAATTAAAAAATAATACAGCAGTAATGAGATACTCTCTATATAGAAAAATACAAGGAACACATTTTTTCAATAATTTCAATTGATTCCTAATTAGCTTAATTACTCAATATTTGTAAAAGAAGATAACGTGATGAAAAGAACAGGAAAAAAGAAAACTTTGCAAGAAAACGTTGCATCTGTGCCTGAATTTACCCCCCCTTACTGTCGACAAAGACGTAGTTCTACGTCAAAAATTGATACATTAATTTCCATGCATATATCTATGTATATATACATTATTTCAAAGATTGCCAATAAAATTTCTTCTTATTATTAGACTTTTACTTAATAATTGCAATTTTACGATACGTCTACTTCGATCATTATCACTTCCATTTTATTCCCTGGTTTCCCGATAAAATCACAGTAAATATGATTAACAAATACTTTCTCCAATCGTGCAAAAGATAAGATCTGTGATTTATTTCCGATCTGATCAAGAATTAAACTATGTATATACGTTAGTTTCTGACGCTTAGAAAAACTAGCGGGTAATTTTTAAATTCTTCCAAACAAAACTTGTATGGCATCTTACGCAACATTTTTCTGTTTTAGGCTCTATTTTTGCTGGTTGTCACAATGTGTGCTTTAGTATCGGCGATACCGTATCCTGACGGGCATCACCATAAACAGTAATTTTCTCCTTTTTAAATTATTGCTCTTATATTCTTTTTAGATGAAGGAAAGACGATAGCGACTTTTTTTCACTATACATTTGTGACACAGCAAGAATATTTGCAGAAACTTGAACTTGCTTTTTTAGCACGCACTTCATCATCCACGTGCCGCATCATATTCACAAGCATCATCATACACATGTAAAGAAGATTTACATACCGGTTAAAGTTAAATCACACGATGATCACCATCACGATGAGCATCATCACGAAGAAGATGGCTGGTAAATTATTTTGTTTCACGACTTCCTCGTGATTAAATAACTTGTCACGGCAGAGTTATTTAATCATAATCGATTGATGATATCTGACGGCGACTTGTTTGTTATTGTTTCACACTGTTAATTATGCAAAATAAACCATATTTATAGATTAATGACTACTTCTTAATCCAATAATTTTGGCTTCTGCGAATTTGGATAAGTGATTATCATTTATTTTAATGTCTTTAAAAAAATAAAATATAGTTTTTTATTAAATCATATACATGTTCATAACTTAATAAAAAATGATAATAATTAGCAATTAATTTCTATCTATAAGATTCTTAAAATGTGGAATTTTTAAAAGCAGTTATTTAACAAAAACAAAGGAAATGAATAAATGTACGTTCAAAATATCTTCCTTTTTATCAAACGTTTATTATATATAAAAATAATGATGAGAGAATGTAACGTGATGTAAAGTATGTACAAGTATCTTCGTTCTGAATACACACGCATGCATACGGAGTATTTTTCTTATGCTAAATCCTTAAATGCTGCTCTCGATGGCGCGAGTGATTTTTGTACTTGATTGGTATCGTCCACTTTTGTATTCCACGAGGAAACTTCTTATCAATGGATCCGTAATGAGGAATGCATTTTATTAGCGTTTACTTACTCGAGCTCCACCTTGTACGATAACCTGGAAAACCAGTTCGCAAGTCGAGTACACGATAAATCAATTTGCAAGTTAGAGTAATTATACAAAAAAAAATAAAATATTAAAAAATAAAAATAACTTGTAGACATTTTCTGCTGTTATAGTTTCAATCAAAAAAAAGATTTATCCTACTTGAAGTATATAAATTTCTCTTTCTCTTTTTCGAGAATATATTAAGAAATATTTAAGAAACTTAAGATCATGAAAATTTTAATGTATATTTAAAAATATGTCTTTTTTGATTCAATATATAATTTTAATATATTAATCAGATTTCTATTCAAGTTACAAATAAACAGTACAAACCTAACATAATTAAAACTGAAGATAAAGTATTCCGTTTCAAAGCCAGCCATGGCTTAACTTCTCCTCATGTATGGGTATGTGTACAGGGACGTGAACCTTCTGTATGACTGGGACAGGTACGGCCACTTTTTCGACATGGTGTACAGGTACCGGGACCGCTACCTTCTCGACATGATGCACCGGATACGGAACAGGAACGGGGACCTTCTCGACGTGATGTACCGGCACGTGTATCTTCTTCGTGTGATGATGATGGATCGTGTGCACCTTATAGGGCACGTGGATAATATGATGTTCACTGAAGTCATACAATCGTTTTCAATGTCATACAGTATTTAATTCTGCCTTACCCATTATTTTAATTATTTATTGTTATATAACAAACAATTGTTATATAATAAATAATTAAAATAATAATTATGCTATATAATAACCATAATACTGTACTATATAAAACTATACTGTATAATAACTATATAATTACATTATAAATAATTAAAATAATGAGCAATTTTAGAAAAAAATGTAACTGTAAATGTTATTGAAGCTTCTAGTTCGATCAGACAAAATTTAAGTAACTGTCGAAGCGCTACTTACTGATGATGACCCGGCAGCGGCGATGCCAAAGCCACGGCCATTATTCCGAACACGAGCAACTGCAACACGAGAGGTGTGTGATCGCGGTTTGTTTGTAATATCGAAAGTGCATCGCGTACCAGAGAGGTCATTTAAATGCACAGCGTTTTTTTTAATCGTTTCACCACTTCTGCCGTCTCTTTCCTGGATGGCGGCGATACAAAAGCACCAGCTGCTAAGCAGCGATGATTATCGTTTATTTAGATATTCAAAGTATCCATTCAATAAAGTCAATCTTTTTTCTTTCTATTTCTTTCGAGGATTTTAATATTAAGAGAAGTTCGCCGTTTTTTGGTACTTGAACATGATTCCTGATACACCACTATTTTAATGCATTGAAGAATGATTAATAAGTAAAAAAATGCTCTCGATGATTATTTTATTTTATTAAATATTGGCGGAAGAAATTACAGCTCCGCAAAAACAGTCAATGAATTCTATCGCCGTTAAGTGTTTTTATATAGTAAAATAAAAAACAGCATTAAAAAAAGTTACTTATATCTGTCCTAGTTAAAGTTTCACTTGAATTTGAAAATTATGACTTAATTATACCAGATCATGAGATTTGGATATCGAGAAATCTCTCAAGCAAGACTTTTATTCTCAAAAATAATTTTGCAATCACAAAATTTGTGCACATTTTGCAAAATTGACGGAAAATAGTAAAATACACACTTAAATACGACTTAGTTAAAATCACTGACGATCACAAAAATCAATGACGAACATCGGAAGCCGAAATTACGTGCGATGAAAATAATACGTTTTATTATAGTAAATCACTCACAGCGATGGTGTGGGAGCGCATCTTCGACTCTGTCTGTCTTAATCGATCGATCGTTACTCCGTGAAAATTCGCGGCGGACGACGGCTGTGCGTGCTCTGCGCTGTTTGCGAACTGTGTTGCCGATACGATTCTGTGTTTTGATCGTCGGGGTTTCCGCTTATAAAGGACGGACACGGCGATGGCCAAAACCACCCGGTGAAATTGCACGGGGTGGGAGAGCAAAGTTGCTCGGGATCCTAGGGGGTTACGTAAAAGCAAGGAAACGCGAAGCCCCGCGTTACGTTCGCGTTTCGGAGCTGCGTAACTTTCCGATGTGCGTATGGCGCGCGGCGTGCGTTGAAGCCGCGCCTCTCCGATCGAGTAGCGCGCGAGAACGCACGGTCGGGCGTGTGCATGCGTGCGCGGTCGGATTTCGCGCGATAACAAGCAGTAAGCACATTCGTACGTAATTCGGGCAATTTCCTTTTTCCTATCGTTCGTGAATCGTCGAGGCTTCTTGGCGATATGAAGAGGGAAGAGCGCCTTGTCGAAACTATAATTTTCATGGAAAAGTGTGAACGCGACGATTGTGTGACTCATTGCTTTATAATAACATTGTCATTATTCCGCTCAATATATTGCAAAATGATCTTTTGTTGAATATTTTAGTGCGAAAATCTTATATCTTTTATTGTAACGAGATAGAGAATTACGAATTGCTTGCTGAGTGAAAATGTTATTTTAATGAGATACATTGTAAAACATTTTGCATTATACAGTATTATTATTATTTCATTATTTAATCACTTTCCTTTACTGCACACATCGCAATTTCGTATTTGAATTAATTATTATGATATGATAAAGATACGCACGTGTGTATATGTGGAAGAAATGCTTCCGCGAGAGTGAAGAAAGAAGTGAGAGTGCGCACAGAAACCCAAAAACATAAATTTTATCGTTAGCTTAAGTAAGTTAATGAATTATGCGAGAGTTACGTTGTAAAAATGTCAGGAAATCTGTGTTACGTCACGTGAAGCGAAACAAATTGGTCTCCAGAACTTCCATTGGGTGGTTTTTTTTCTTTTTTTTTCTTAAACTAACGCACAATAAATGGAAGTTCGTTGCACCAGAGATACTTTTACCGCTGATTCTATAGAAATATTTTCATTCGTATACGCACGAAACGCCCTCGACTTTGCACCAATAAATTGTACTGATTTCACTCGCGGCGTTGCGTCGTCGCCGGAACAGCTTCTGGTTTCGGAGAGAAACTTAAGTAAAATCCCCGTAAAAGGTCAAAGTTCTGCGGAATATAAATTTATTATTCAAGTGTGACATGATGTTGCCGATATCGCGCCGGACGTATACATAATCGTCCTAGTCACGAATGATATAATGAGCGACTTAACTCAAATATGCGCGCGGAATTTTGAAGGAAGTTAGCTCGCGCCCGTAATTGGTCGTCACTAATCGTAAATACCAACCCGATTATTAGATTAGCGAAAGTTCACAAACGAACACAAACACGACGATAAATATCGTTGTTGATCTAACGCGTATACATGAATGGTACCCTGCAATAATTTCCTTCCTCAACTTATGTATTTATATATTTTATGTATTATATATATATATATATATATATATATATATATATATATATATTTATGTATTTATATATTTTTTGCTGCGTGCATAGTCCTTTACTTCAATAAATACGTTAATTAACGCGTAAAGTATGGCCTAATATGCAGACTTCAATTGGGATTGGGTAAAAGGTATAATTACGAAATTGTGGATTATAATACCTATCTCGAATGACAGTAAGCGTGGTTTGCTTTGCAGTTTTGGACTTCTTTTCAGACGCATGGTTGCATGTATCTTATATCGGGATATCGTATGTATGTATCAATTGCATATAAGATTATCGGCAAGAATGCCGGTACACTTTTGCATTCAGATCGATTACGAGACTCTCCAAACAAACGATTCAGTGTTAAGACCAAGGTAACGATCGAGACCGTGTTGTACATATTACATGTTCCACTGCAAATTATGTCCTCTTTTCCTCTTTTTTTTCGATCGCGTATCGGGGGACCCACCGGTGTAACAGGAAGTGGTGCAAGCTGCATACTTAAAATATCCATCATACAGGGAGAAAGCGTTTCGTAACCCTCTTACACAAACCTTCGCGTATCCCGATACGGAGCAGGTAACCGCGCGATCAAAAAGAAGAAAGAGCGGAAAAAAAGAAATGTAAATAAAAAAGCAATCATTCGTACCGATAAACTCACCAATACATGCATATCCGGTATCCCGGATTGCGTAAGGGCTAACGCGTTTACGCCGAGCGATTTTTACCTCGCTTTGTGCGCGCGTTAATATGAGTTCTTTATGCGTCTTGACCGGCACTTCGAAGAACGTGACACAGTACACATTATTTAATAAAAACTTTTTATGATGTAATACTTGGAATATCTCGAGAATAAATGCTACAATTTTACGTGCGAAATAATTACTTGACCAAATTTTAATTTCTTACGAAAATTTTTCTTTTAAAACGCTTTAACAAATTAACATTTTATTATATTTTATAATAGCGTCCCATATTTATCGTACAATATTTTAACAGTGTATTTTGAAGACTCTACCAAGACAGCACTTTAAGTCCAAAATTGAGATTTAAGATATCTTTAAAACGCCTTATGCCCCGATGGACATGCGTGCTGTGTCTGGGTAATTGGAGTCGAAAATTCTAATACAAAAATATCATAACATTAGTTCTCGAATTGTAAGTCAAGTATTAATTCACATTACAGCAAACCGCTGATATCAACAAATTATTAATAGCAATTACTTAATTAATTCTGTTACGAAAAAACTTAAAACTTTTTTAAATAAAAATTCTTAATCAAGAATAATCGTGATCATCTAAGATCGTAATTAACTTGTAAAGATTGTAAAGCAAATGAAAGCGGACAAATACTATGAATAAACATCTTATTGCATTGAAGTGCGAACACGGCGTCGTTTATCGCAACTGAAATGTGAAACGCGCGCGCAGCAGTGTTTATGTGAAATAAAACATCCAATATAAGTTTATTCTGCATTTAAATACTTCCTAGAGAGATAACAAATTGATTATGAATAACGCAAGCAATGCTCGATGTTTACGGCACAACATAGGGGAGATCGGGGCGAAGTCGCCACCGGGGCGGAGTCGTCATTGCAATTATCTCGAAATCTGTATGTTGTGTGAACTCGCCATTAAATATTAGAGGTATTCAAATAAGTTAAAGTTTAACGGTTTGACAGGTTATGTCGGGTTAAAGTCGAGTAAAAAGTTAATTAATTAACTTTGGGCGCGCTACTCTTTAAGGTTACGCAAAATACATAAATGACTCATTAACTTATCACATTAATCTTTGGGTTAAAAGTTTAAAAATTAACTTTTTACCCGATTTTAACCCGACATAACCTGTCAAACCGTTGAACTCTAACTTATTTGAATACCCCTGTAAACGCGGCTTAAGTGCCCACGTGACCAACGGAGTTTAGGGCCGATATCACAGTCTCCGAAACGTGATTCTCCGATAAAACTCACTATTCGTCTCTTTCTAGGGGGATAGTTAGAAAGAGACGCAGAGTGAGTTTAATCGGAGGATCACGTTTCGGAGACTGTGATATCGGTCCTTAGTGAGGTTATCTGCCATGTTGTGATTCTTATCGAGGCAAACGTTTTTTCGGAGGTCAAAAATAAAATTTTTTACGCGTCGAAAATTTGTAATATTTTAAATATTATTGTGTCTCCAAATCTCAAATTAAGTGATTCTAAAGAGTAATGCATGCTGAACACAAATTCAGTGAAGTTTTTTTTATTTTTATTAATTTTTAATATTTTATGATGAGCGACCAAACTTGAAACTTATGTCCGGGGCGAAGTCGTCACCAAGCCATATCATGGAGACTTCGGGCGAAAATCAAAGTCAAAGAAGCAGCAGTGGTCGGATTCCGGCGAGGACTTGGATAATATGTGCTGCGTGTGCTCAGATATGACTGCAGAATAGAGCTGACGAGGAACGTGCGAGCGTAGGGCACATAATAATAAGTGTGTGCGCTTTTCTTGTAATTATTTTCCGCCATCGTGTTTTAATTAATGTTTCCATTTTTCTATTAAAAAATAATTAATAAAATGTATCCTATCATTTTTCATGATCGAAATTATGAATTTTTATTTGAAATTTAGTCCGAGAATGGAGTGACAACTCCGCCCCGGCGATGACATTTTAATTTTTGCACTTTTGTCGTTTTCACTCTATACCAGTTGAACAAAGCGATGTACAAAAATGTCCGTATAAATTTTAGCCAAGGGTTAATTCACTCATCTTTACAACGGTATACCACATTTTACTAAAATTATTTGTTTTGTTGTTAAAAATTGGCACCGAAAAAGTAGTGACGACTTCGCCCCGGTCTCCCCTACTGTAAATTATGCACAGTTTGACTTTTGTCGTTCGCACAATATTATAGATTCGAGCGAGAAGTGAGCCCGCAGCGGGGTGAGCCCGCCGAGTCCGCGTTCCATGTGACACGTCATTATCCTTCGAGACGCGTTCGCGGCCGGGAGAAAATTGTTATCTTTCCTGCGAGAAGTTAGCGAAGCAACGGAAAGCCGTAACATATCGGTCGTCTATTATTAATATGTATTTCTCGCGGGATTTATGCATTTATACTAGTACATTACGTGTAATATCTCGATAGTACGTTTTCGGATAGTCCATCGTGTTAATTAGACGCTAATTCACGTTGTACCGGGGTGAAGTTGCTTTCTTTCAAGATCTTTCGATGCCGAGTCGAGTGGCGTTTTTGATTAGTAAGTATAATTGCGATTATAACCTTCGTATTTATTCATCGTGTAGCGTAGATTATTCGTATCGTTGGCAATTCATTGAAACGCGTATCTCGCGAGATTTATTTGTATTTTCGGATATTACATTCCGCGAACATTTATTTTTAATTTCAATAAATATATTTTTGTTCATCAGTTATGTAACGATACGAGATATCAGTGGTTTTAAAACTCACGCGTATACTATCCGTAAAGGTCAAATTAGCATTAGCAGTAAAATTCGAAGTAGCAGGTAAAAGGATTAGCTACGTCGTCGTCGTGGTGGGTGGTGAAGTTGGCCGCGCCATTTTCAAATTTCCTCCATCGTTTGCCTCTTGCGCAAATATGAGTCACGGATGTCGGGCAAATCGTAACTTGCGGTCCTATATATTTTTTCGCGTTATCATGACTTGCGTTATCTGTGTGTTGTTCAGGTTGTTCTTCTGTGATGTAATAAAATGCGTGTTGTGTCCGATTGACGTCAGGAGTGCTGTTCAAAGCGTGCCGCGCGTTCGTCGTGTGTTCCGATAATTAGTGCGTGTTCGTGGTTAACCTGCTTACGCGAGTGATCTCGTCGTGTGAGGAAAAGTGCCAGAAATTAAGATGCGGTAACGATGGAACGAAGGAGAAGGCCGAGAAAGTGTCGGGTGGCATCTATGCAGCTGAAGACGGTGAGTGATTCGTTATTTGTTATTTATTGCTTGCAAAACTGGTCGTTTATTTTAATGTGCGCGATAACGGGTCTGTGAATTATTATAATATACGATTATAACATCTCAGACAGCACGCATAAAGACATCTTTAAGACGTCTTACGTTATCTCAATTTTGATGAACATGCTGTCTGGGATCATTCGTCTATTATCTTAAAATGGGCTAGAACAGATTTACTGAAATATTGTATATATTTAACAAAATAAATAAATAAATAAAATAAAATAAAAATAAAAAAAGGATTAACTCGAAGTTCATCCTCAGGCGTCCTTGAAATTAAAGTTGTAGGACGCTTATATAAATTTTTGTAATTCGTAAACTTATTTGGTGATTAGAAATAGCGCAAGCAGGGAAAGAGAAAGCTCCGGACGTTATAACTTAACCACATCATGTCTGAATCCCGGTATTTTTTTGCGCCGCGACAATTACCGTCTTTGCGCGGGGCCCGGCCGTTCCGTGAAAGTAATAGACGCGATTGATTTTGAGGGAAATGACGGTCAGTCAGTTCGCGATGGGAGAAAATGGACAAGCACGATCGATGAAAGTCCAACGTTGGAACGCGTCCAACCGATCTGACCAAAGACGACCGGCATGCGGTAATCGCGAAGAACGCGTAATTGATCGACGAGAGGTGATCGGTGGCTGCTGCATGCCTTTTCTGGAACGAGTGATTATATAAGAGTGGTTCCGTTGCGGAAGGGAAACGCTATCGTCCGTGCAAAATTATTGCAAACGTATAAGGATTACGCTCAGCGAGTAATCTCTTCCCCCTTTTTTCTTCTTTACGTAACCACCTGTAATGCGAAACCAAAGCGATATAACGTCGGGTAATTATTTGATTATATATACGTAGCTTGTACTTTCCGAATTTACATTATGCGATAGAAATGATAATTATTTATGAATATTTCATGATGAGGTAATATTCGTTCAAAAGAAATTATTCTTTTGAGAAGACTGTCAGCTTTTTGATTGTCGAGCTGCCTATTCTTCAATTGAAATGTATCTACAAATCTCTTTTTATGTATTGCTCATGTACATACTAGGTTTATTGAATAGTCAAATTACTTTAACTGTTTCTGTTTTAATTACGATAGTTAATAAGCGCTGAAACTTTATTATATAAAGAGAATTGAGTATACAGTATTACATAATGTACGGAAATAAATCAGGATTTTCAGAATTTCACTGGATAATGTATCAGTAACAATTTATTTTATTCTCATAAAAGCCGGCATAAAAATATTATCAACTGACTCATAAAGTTTTCTCGATTCATTACTACTTATAAGGTCATTACCTAAGTTCAGAAATCTATTTTTATACATATATAATATTCTTTTATTTGCAATCACTTATACAGCCAACAGACATTAAAGTATAAATACGTGTATCTTACCAAAAGAAAAACCTTAAGGTCTATCATTCATACTTGCTCCGATATACGCTTGCATTCATTATCCATTCATTAAGAACATTTGTCTCATAATTGCCGAAAAATAAATGCTCAGTTCATTAGATTTGCACTATCAGCAATCAAATTTGCGTCATTGAAGATTGCATATTTTATTTAGATTTCGTTAAAGGTATCATAAATACGTCCGGAAATTATTTCTTCTTTTTGAGCTTTGTGATAACTTCGGACTGTGGTTTCTGCCAGTCCAATGGTTTGCGGCGGTACATAGGCCACGGAGGTACAGTGATTAACGCCGCCATAACAAACCCAGCTCCCAGAATATAGATTGTCTGCGAAAATTGTTGAATGATATATCCCCAGACTAAGCCAACCGCCTGTAAGAATACACAATTACTGTACTGCAATTATCAATGAGTATTTTCAAAATTTCGAGATAATTGTAGCTTACTCCAAATAACGTTATTATGATCCGCGACAGTTTCTCAGCTCTGGCTTGGCCGTCATAATCCTAAAACAAATGACACAGGTAACAAGGAATGTACAAGATTTCGAGAAGAGTGTAGAAATAACGCATAGGAGTTTATAAATATTATAAATATTCTTTAAAAGTCAAATAGTGAAATATCATTCAAAACGAGTGACATGCAAGTGTAATGAAAAGTGAAAATTGAACTTATGTACTTCAAGTGATTCGCCACTCTAAGAAAGAGTAAAATTGAGATCTGTAAGTTGGAATGAAATCGCATTCCATTTGAATGCAATAGATCAGTGTTCATAGGAGTGAATTATGTCACTCTATAATTACTGCATACTCCTGCTGCCATTGTAGACGACGCTTTAGAGTCATTTATCAGTCAATCATTAGTGATTCATTATAGCTTTCAAGTGAGATCGTATCACTCCGATAGAGTAGCCGCTCTAAAAATTTGAGTGAAAAATTCACTCCTACCTTATAAGTGCCCGCATTTACTCGAATTCGAGTAACAACCCTCTCTTTTTGGAGTGACTATTGCAATCACTCTAATGTATTAATAAGTGGCGAAACCGTTCTATGAGATTTAGAGAGTACAATTAAAACATTTAGTTAAAGATTTACAATGTAACTTATTTACAATAAAAATTATTTCGACGAAGCGCCGATTAGTTGACATACGGTGCCTCGATGATCCTAACCTCGCGAATAACGAATGCACGTCGGACTCGTCGCGGATAGCCGTTTCGGCGTGATCGTTCGAGAATCTCATTACTTACCATGTGCGTTGGGATCGATTTGAAGTATTGCATCCACGCGTTCATTGTGAACAAATATACGGACGTAGCGGTGGAGGACAGAGACGCTCCCTTCGACTGCTTCGATCAGTTCGATCTTCGATTCGGGACGTGGTCGACGTGGATGCACGTGGATGATAGGTAACGGCACAGATTCTGTGGTAACGGTCGTGTGACGTCGTCGATTGCGCAGATGCGGCGCGCACGTGCAGCGCGAATTTTAAAATTGATCCTAAACGGACTGCCAAACTCGTTTAGAAGCGCGATATATGCTTTTCTACGTTGCTTCCGCCTCGGATGATGTAAGTAGCTGAGATATGTTGCGCGTGTAAGCGTGTAACTATGTTAAAATTTGATCGATTTCGTTAATATAATGTTTAACATACCTAAATTTATTGATGTAATTTCTATGACACTCTGAATTGTTTTGTACACGTATTACGAGTCTTATATTATTTTAAATTATAACGACATATATATTAATTAAGAGCAGTGGCTACCTATAAGGAATGGTAAAAAATGATTCAAATTGGGTATAATTTGACATTACGAATTTAACAGTGTAATAACGAATAATATTGGACGTGTTTATTCATTTATCGTTTGTTGTATTTGACGAAATTTTCTGTATAGGAAGAATTTTCTTTAATAGGAAGATCAGTCATATTCCAGCTAATTAACGACAAGATTAACTATAGATATTAGTGATGAAAATGAGACACGACTTTTGAGAACGTGTATGCGCTATCGAAATCTTGGCGAATTGCAATTAAGTAACCGAATGCCAAAAGTGTTGTCACGCGCGAGTTCTATCGTTCTATCGCTGGCTTTCTACATTCGGCGTTTCTGCAGATAGGGACTCATAGATATTCCCTCATCGTCGCGACGTTATTTGATGACATACTTCAACTATGCGTCATGCAGCTCGACGCGTTTTTCTGCTCACGCGACGCATTCGCAACTAATCCAAAGGAAATCGTTATACGCAAGGCGCGCGATTCTCCAAATATATCGAAATAGCGTGTTGTCGCGTTGCATGCAATTACGAAATTATTATAGAAATTCACGATTCGGCATAAGCTTCCACTTTCATGTCACAATCGCGCGATATATATCTCATTAAACGACGAGTCTCAATTGTTTCTCATAAAAAGTAAACGCGATTGAAAGAAGTGATAGAAGCTCAATTTGCAAAGTTGCAAAATTTCTGAGACAAATCAAAATAACTTCCCCTATTGTCAATTTTATTTCTATCTTCTCTCTCTCTTTTTCCTTATTTTATTATTTTTTTATATCATCAATTTTATAAAAATCTGAAATTAACGAAATTATATATATGTGATATTTAGAACTAAAATAAATTAAAATTAATTTTTTTTTTTTTTACGCACTTTGTATACGAATGTTTATAAACTAATATATAATTTAAAAACTATACGTTTCAGAGAATTAAATTTGTTGTAATCATCTTTTGCAGTTTTGACTTGAGTTTCGATGATGGATAGAATGCCGTAGAAGATATTCTCTGCAAGCAGGGGTATGTTTATCAGTTTATAAATATTTTGCATGTTTATGTATATAACGAAGAAATGATGAAAGACAAGAATGTTTGACAGCTTGAAAAGTTTAATGATATTTTTTCGAGATTATTATTTTTTTATTTAATTTCCCATAAAGAGAGAAAGTTTTTTCCTAAACTTAGATAACAAACTCTTTTAATTCTCTCTTATTTGATACTGAATATGGTAGAAAAAAATTATACATATATAGAATTTTTTATTATGTTTTAATTTATTCTAAGATTTGGTTGGTTATTTGTAATATAATCACGAAAAATATAACACTTATCACTGTATATAAATCTTTGCCACTGTACACATATAAATTCATTCTTATGCTTATTATAATTTAATATTTGATAATTGTAAATGAATGGAACACTACTGAGGATCATATATATGACGATCAGGAATCGATATTATGGTAATATAATAATTTGAGCGCTTAACAATAGTGAATGTTGCATGTTTGCGATTGGAAATGGAATGTTGAACCATTTTCAATCATTGAATATACTGCCAGATAAACTTACTGACATGTCGATTATTTAAGCAATATACGCATTTGACGTGATTTTATTACAATAGTGAATGTTGCATGTTTGCGATTGGAAATGGAATGTTGAACCATTTTCAGTCATTGAATATACTGCCAAATAAATTGACTGACATGTCGATTATTTGAGCAATAAACGCATTTGACGTGATTTTATTACAAAATTCTCATTTAATATTAGGTTGATATTCACTACTTTTAACTGATAAACATTTCACGTTTAATAGATTCGTTCGTGTCAGTCGGTTCAAACTAATCGATATTAATTTTTTGTTTGATAGTGAAAAAAAAAATATATATATATATATCAGTAAACTGGTCTCAAAGCAACACATAAATAATAGCATACATATAAATAATAAAGAAAACGTCAATAAGTACAATAAATAAGTGACATAATGAAAAAAAGCTAAAGTTGATTTTTAACACGCCTTATTTAATAACAATTAAATTACAACTTTGCTATTCTTCCTTTAAAGATACAAATAGAACTTAGATTGTTTATTCGATCCGATATATGCAGCAAGAGATATTGAAAATATTTTGTATCTATATCAAATATCATTTTTGTAAGCAGCTTCTGGAAACGTCGATAACGCATCAGAGATAATAAAATTTGTCTATATTTATTTGCGTTTATTGACGTTTCTTATTTGAGCATTTGAACTGACTTTCTCGTTAAAATATCCGTGCAAATGGAAAACTTGTCAATTTCCAAACTTCTTACATCTGCGATGTAAATAGATTTCATATTTCGGTATCACACATCGTTCTGTACCCATCGTACTACAATCCTCCCCTCCTTTTTTTACTATTTTATGAGATTTACAATTAATCGTTCTATAAGACATTTTTACTCATCGTGCAATTTCTGTTCCATACGATATAGAAAGGAAAAAGTCGAATCTCCTCCATCTCCCAAACTTTATCTGATTATAAAATAATGCAAGATAAGTACATACAAATGATGTACGCACGCGATCTTATATCGCATTATATATTTTTTATATGCATTATAGATTTCTAATCTTAATAAGAATTTGGAAATATTGTCTCGATAATTTGTTATTTAGATCGTCTTTGAATTTAACGCACGATATCGTCGTATCGTTCATGCGAATGATACGAAATTTCGCTAAATTATCGGGAATACGACAATTATTATCCGTGAATGAGCGAACGATCGTCGTAGCATACACATATATATAGCATCAAATTTTATCATTTTAGATAAATAAGTAACATTGCGAAACGCATAAATAATTGCAACAAGGCGCTTAAATATTCACAGCATTACAGTATAGGCAAGTATATTTGACGAAGCGCTTTTCGGTGTTGCGTATAAGCAACTTTTCATTTCGTGGTCGTTTCAAAGTCTACTGATATAGTTCTCATCGTGGATGCAAGTGCTCCATGTGGGTGTCGACGGCACTTCACTTTGAGAACGCGCGAAATGTACCGCATCAGCAACGGTGGGGAACATGGCGAAAGAGTGGTTCTCGTTATGCTCGGTCAGATTAAACTTTCTCATCGTTTCGTACATGAGACCTGCAATAGATATAATGATATTTTACGATTAAAATTAATTTATTATTTATTTCTCCTATGGGTATTGAAATTAATTAATGTTTCGGTAAATATGGATTTTTACAAAACAATCTCTTTGCTTATTCATAAACGTGACGATTGTAAGATCCATTTTTGTATATCTGTAAACTCTATCGAAAAATCGATCGGTAAAGAAAAATTGATGGTAGAAAAATCGTGTAGAGTAAATAATGTTATATATAATAATATAATTAATATATGTCGTCGATGCTATTTTCTGGTTACATGCACTGAAAAAAAATATTTAGATCTAAGAAAATATTTATTTAGATACTGCCAATAACTTATTTACTTAATATAATCACATATTTATTTAGAATTAATATTTTTACTTAATTTAAGTATGTATATTGTGTATATTATGTATATATTGGCAATATCTAAATAAATATTTTCTTGGATCTAAATATATTTTTTTTTAGTGTACATCATGAATTAAACTTACGTATAGATGTCAATTAAGACATTGAAATACAGGTACTTTATATATTGAAGATTAAATATACTCACCGAAACAACCTGCTATATAAACAGACACTTCTATACTGCAATATTCATCAACAATGTTTCGTAAAACATTTGCGCCTGCCAGATCGATATGTGACAATGCAGTGAAATCCAATATGAGAATGCGTAGCTGTAAAGATCGAGCAACGAAATATTTATAAATAAGATAGTAAAGAAATAAATGCAATAAAGATAATCAGTTATTCTAAATGAATATACAATCATGGTAGAGTGGAATATTTTTCTATGCAAACGGTTTTAAAATAGTAAAAGTTGCACATTATTTACCTTTTTAATTTCCTCCGTCGCGATGCCATTACGTGCGGCTTGCAGCCGTTTTTTTAGTTCCTTTTGAGGTACTAGCTCTGCAATTTTATACACTTCCTCACGAAAGTATTGTTTAGACGCGAAATTCAGACTACCGGAATAGTGGAAGATTCTGATGCCGGGAATCTCTACAGTCTGAGAATATTTATGAAATATTTATTTTCTGATTATAGTTCTCATTAACAATAGTTTTCGTTTTGTTTTTAATTTGCCATTTAAATGATTTATCGAATTTAATAAAACTCTATATAAAAAAATTTTTGTATAAATGTAAAACTTATTAAAAAATATACGTATTTCCAAAAGAATAAATAGTTATGATAAATTCATCGTAATAATAAAGATAGATTAATGTCAAGAAAAAATAACTTTTTTTTTTTTAATTACAAGTTCTTCGTACTCCTTTATATCTTTTAGTGTCCAAGTAGAGCTCAGTGCCTGGTGCTAGAGCGAGCTTACACGTGTAAGGTCGCATCGCGAGGACAAGTAACCTTCCGATGCATACGAGCACGCCGACCAATAATCCGTACTCAATGTCGAAAAGAATCACGACAACAAAGGTGATAGCCCAAATGGCGGCGTCCGTCTTGTCCAATCTCCAGAATTGCATGAACTCGGTGACCTTCATCAGCATCCCTTTTAACGCTACCACGATTATACTTGCTAGAACACACTGTCAACATCGCACGAGCATTAAATAATGTATTTCGATCACCGTTTCACGTTTATATGTACAAGATGTAGAAACGATAAAAAGAATAATTACTCGTGGCAAAGGTTGAAAGAATGGCCCGATCCACAGCAATACGCACACCAAAATTCCGCATGATATCAAACTCGCCAACTGCGTATGTCCACCTACAGTTTGCTGAACCATCGATCTGGATAACGAGGCCGTGATGGGCATGCAGGAGAAAAAAGAGCCAACAAGGTTTCCCAATCCCTGTAAACATTCCGTTTTGTTGTACAGATTGATATACTTATATAGACGTATATGGCATTAATGACAAATAATAAATATTAAAACAATCTCTTTAAAAGTCTAAGAAAGAGTAAAATTGAGCTTATAAGTTGGAGTAAAATTGCACTCTATTTGAGTGAAAGGGCACGCTTTTCGAGTGCAGTAAATCAGTGTTCATAGGAGTGAATTATGTCACTCTACAATTTTTAGTAGAATATTTTACTCTGTTAAGAGTCATTTATTAGTCGATCTTTAGTGAATCGTGATTTACTATAGCTTTAGAGTGAGATCGTATCACTCCGGTAGAGTAGCCGCTCTAAAAATTTGAGCAAAAAATTCGCTCTTACCTTATGAGCGCCCGCATTTACACAAATTAGAGTGATAATCTTCTCTTTTGGAATGATCCTATCGCAATCATTCTAATATATTAGTGGCGAAACCACTATATGGGATTTAGAGAGATATAAGCGTATTTACTATATTTAAAAATATTATATTCTAGATAAATTCTAGATAAATATCACAATATGCATTTACCTGCGCCACCAATTCTTGATTAGAGTCGATCTCATAGTCCATTTTTTGTGCGAAAATCAATGCCATAGATATTGATATTGTATAAGCGACCATAGTAATTACGAAACTGTCTACTAAAATGCTGGGTATAAGGGACAACGGTGGTACAGACGGGACTGGCAATCTGAAAATCTTGACATTATAATAATTTGAAGTTGATTGCAATCTTCCACAGCTTGTTGTAGTTTTATAACAAATATGAGATTTTTTATAGGAAATTAATCAAAGTCAGTTTAGTAAATTAATTTTAATAGTCGTATAAAAAAAGCTGATATTTTCATAACGAATACAATTTTTTTACTACAAGCTGTGTAAGTAAATCAAACGCTAGTTTAAAAAGCACATTTACCCTACTGGTATATCGCCAACTATTATTACATTATAAGTATCCGCAAGATTCATTTGCATCGATACTACAGTACCGATTACCACCACAAGCATTTCTATCGGAACTGGAAAAGGGCATAACTTTGATACCTTTGGCTGAAATTTAGATTATTCCTTCTTAGAACGCAGATGTAATTAATTTTACAAAATCAATTACATCTTGTGTCTTTTTTGTACGGAACGCATGTGTATGTGCAAAGCATAATTACGTATATTACGAACCTTAAGAACTTCGTTATTGAAAATAAGTGATAAGATAGTGATGCAAGATAATATCACAGCCGTTATATTGACATTGTTCATACTGTTGAGAATATCTACGTAAGTCTGAAAAGAGATAAAGCAAGAGCTAATGTAAATTGATACTAAAGTAATATATATATATATATATATATATATATATATATATATATATATTGTGACGTTGCACCGTGTGCACGTCACAGTTTTCCCCATTCCCATCTTTGTATTGCGCGCGTACTGCCGAGTTTATAGTTTTCAGGAAGAAGCGGCCGGAGGGCCCGTATCGATGGCGTGGCGCTATCCGCCGGTGCGGTGAAGCGCCCTGATCTAGAGGGCCGCGAGTCGAAGCCGCGGAAACGATCCCGGCACTGTTGGGTCGATCGCGAGCGTGGGCTGACGTACGGCAAGGGCCTTCCCGTTGCGCCGGGAATAAGCGAGGGCGGCGGCCCTAGGAGTTACGTTGTGAAGGAAGGAAGGACGAGATGTAAACGACCAGCCATCCCGGACCAAAGGTATCGGGGAACAGCGGGGCGGATTGTCGAGTACCGTTTCGCGTTATTTTTGAGAGAGACGCGTAGGTTTGCTTGAGAGTTTCCTTATCTACGCGTCATTGTCGTGAATCCCTTGCCGGGATTATCGCTTTTCCGTTTCGTTTCTACGGGTAAGACATAGCCCGCCCGCTGACTCCCCGTAATAATACCGAAGGGGCGTCCGTTTCTTCCCGACTCGACCGGTGTGGTATAAGATTTTGAGTGTAATCGAGTAACGACGTTCGACGCTCGAGTGTAACGACGAGCGACCGCGTGTTGCGAGATCAAGTCTCGCGGATCGGCTCAACAGTCATTAGAGTTAAGTTACCGTTTCGAGCTTTTCGAGATTACCGTTTATGAGTATCGTGCCTATCGATCTGTGTGTAAGATATTTGCGTTTCCGTTAGAGTTAGTTTTCGCGTAGTGAAAGTTTCATCGTGCGGGCTTTCGTGCGTACGGTCGTTCTGGGGCGTGTCGGCCTCCGGGATACGTAACTTACCGCGCCCGGTACGGGAAGTGTGAGGCGTCGGCATACCGGACATAGAGTCAGCCTTCTCGAAGAAGGTGCCCGCAATCGACCTCGATTAACGTTCAGAAATTTAGAGTGAAATTTACTCCGGCTGAGAGAACCGCACGCCCCGGGCTGAATTAGGCGTGAGTATCACGTGCTCGCGGTGTGGACCGTGCGACGAAGCTTCGCGTTACGTTTCGAGGGGTGTTATGTGAGAACTCCTATATTGCGTGTATCGTTTAGTTTGCGAGGAACGTTGAGTTATATTGCGCGTATCGTTTATTTTGCGAGAGATTATTGTGCGCGTATCGTTTATTTTACTCTTTCGTTAGTTAGCGTGGATTATAGCGATTACGGGTATAACTCCGTCGGCGTATCTTATTACTTTTCGCGTATTTCTTAGCGTAGGCTATTTCGTGCGTGTATTCTTTCATCGGCGTATATTATTGCGCTTCGCATACTTCTATTGCGAGTACAAGTTACTCGTACGTTTTTCCGAGAATATTAGTTCTGCGTCCGAGTTTGTTTATAACGCGCGAACCCTTCGAACGACCTTGCGTGGTCGGGGAATTGCGATGGATCGCGGTGAATACTTCGTTCGCGTCCTGTAAGTGTACCGCTATTATCACGCTTTCTCTTATATTATATTTTGATTTACATGTTACTTGAGTGCTTTCTTTTGTGTTTGTTTCACCTCGCCAAGGTCAAACCCCTCTGCATTCGGCCTATGTAAGGACCACGACCCTCTAACGAAATTCCTGAGCAGTCGTTGCGATCGGCCAGAGCGGATGTGTCATAACGTGTGACTTAAGAGTTGTGTCGATAATTAGAGTTTATGTCGGATCTTTGTAGAGTTCATGTAGAGTATTTTTCGCGGGTAATAGAGACGCGTAGGCTTGCTTGAGAGTTTCCTTGCCTACGCGCCATTTTAGAGTAAACGGTGGTGTGGCCGTATCCACACCTGGCGCCCAACATTGTTTCGTATCGCTTTTGAGATCCGCTCTGCCACCCGATCATATATTTGCTACGCGCTTTAGTCCCGCCTCCCGCCTCCGGGAAAATCACACAGAGAAATTAGCGTCCAATATATATATATATGGGGCATTCTCCGTGAAATCAGACACCCCCTCT